TATATATATATATCAATCCGTCGTCCTGAGGCGAGAAAGAAAGCTGTGTATTGTCCCGGAGTACAAATATCAGTGTATTTTCTAGGGCAAAGATATCAGTGTATTGTCCAGGCACAGGGATATCTGTATTGTCCAGACACACATAAGTATTCAGGTTTATAGATATCTGTGTATTGTCCTGGGGCAAATATCAGTGTATTGTCCAGACACACAGATATCAGTGTATTGTCCTGGGGCAATTGTATCATCAATGTATTATCCAGGGGCACAAATACCAGTGTACAGTAGAGACACACACACAATGACATGTCAATGCACCGCCATGGTGCAGATATCGGTGTACGGTCACTGGGCACAGATACCTTAATCATGTCCAGAGATATCAGAGTAGTAGTGTATTATCTTGAAGCACATATATCAGCGCACTGTTTTATTTTTACTTTTTTTGCCTATTATGTCAGTGTACATTGTTCTGGTTTCTCCATTACACACAGATGTCAGTGTATCGATCACACTTCAGCACAAATATTCAGTTTTGGAATCACCCTGATACACATATTATATTAGTACATATTTTCCCAGAGTTACTCTGGCATACATACTATATCAGTTTATATACTGTCCAGGTATCATCCAGAAGCACATGTATCACTGTATTGTCTTGGCACATATATAAGTAGTTGAGCACATTGTTTGGTATCACCCTGATACACATATATCAGTTTACGATATATTGTTCAGGTATGACCCTGAAGCACACGAATCAGTTTATCGTCTTGAAACAGACATCAGCAGATGTGCACGTTCTTTTGTTTCACCCCGAAGAACAGATATCTGTATATCTTGTCCTGGTATCACCCTGACATAGAGTAAAACTTTCACTTAAAACAATTAATCATTGTCATAGGAGGCGATCACACACTGTTTTGGTTGCTACTGGCCCCGAACCGTTTCATCGATTTGTCCTTGAAAGAGAATGGCACTAGTCGTCTGAATATCAACAAGTAGAATATGATTGTGACCAGGATAAATCCACCCGAACTGCCAAACGTGACTTGTGGTCCGAAGCTGTCGTAGACCTGTGAGACATAGATCGGTCCCATGGTGCGGGCCAGACTGCCAGAGGCGGTCAACCAACCCATCCACAGTCCCTGGGGAACGAGAGTGGAATGTAGGTTATAACTAGCGGGGGAAGGGTGAGTGAGGTGGAGGGGGTTTGTGTGTGTGTGTGTGTGTGTGTGTGTGTGGGGG